AGAAAAGCAAGTGTCATCTCTGCTCCTTTCCCTTGCTTTTCCTTCCCAAACAAACACAAAACCCTGATTTGATGTTCTCATCTGAGCCTCTCACAAAATGAGCTAATGTTAGTAGCAGGGCGGACTTAAACTGGGATCAAAAGAGTAAAGCAAGTGGCTTTTTCTCTACTTGCTTTCAGATGTTTTTCTTTCTAGCAAACCCAGCTGGAAGTGTCCAAGTGCCTGGGGAATTATGTCATGCTCACATCTTGCCAGAGGCTCACTTGCCCTAGGCGTGGGCAAGTCTTTCTAGGGAAAAACAATTCTTTTGTACCAGCCTTCAGCCCTTGGTGCCCATTTCCATATCCAACACAGAGATCCTTTTGGGAACTAGCTGGGAATTCCCTTTTACTCCCGCTATTCTGGCAGTGACAGATCAAGCGGAGATGAAGTGTTTGATGAATAAAAATAGAATTTGCCCCACATCCCTGACCCTTGTCTAATTCCAAGCCTTAACATTATACCACATTTCTTTTCCAGTCTGTAAGTCTTCTCCAGTATTTATGTACGAGTTGAAAACCCAGAATGGCTTGAGCAGAGGGGCTGGAGCCTCCAAAGCTGTTAATTCAGGAGTACAGCTGTTCTCACAGGTCTGCGGATGCTTGAGCAGAGTTTTGACAGAAAGCCGTTAAAAAGGTCTTCAGATGACAGCATACATGCTGCTAACACATTTTTCAGTCTTTTCCTGACCAAGGTGCAAGAGGGCTTTCTATTTTCTCCTTCTGGTGCAAGAGAGCTTTTCTTGAGGGCCTGATGTCTTGCCAACAACTCCATTCACTCAAGACAATTTCTGGTGGTGTCTCCTAATCCCACTGCCAGTTTGAGCTAATGCCAGGTAGTTTTGTGCAGAGAAATAATAATGGATGAGGGGAGGGAGCTTGCTCCCTGGACACAGGTGTCTGCTCCTCCAACCCCACCATACCCCTCTGCATCCCCTGTGTGTCCCCACAGTACTGGTGGTGGGCACTGGTGGGAGAGCAAAGTGTACCCAAATGCCATCACAGGCTGGTCCAATACCACTGTGGAAATAACTGAGAAAAAAATGATTCTTAATAAATTCCTTCTGTTCTAACCACCAGGAAACCTGGCAGAAGGCACAGTTTAAGCAAAAACAAACATCAAAACCACACATGCATATATACTTTAAGAGAAACTTATTGAGGAGGACAGGGAGAAGAAATCCGTTAGAAATAGGTTTTCATTATTGGTCAAATATTTAACTCTAGCCCAATAAAATAATAAGATCTGCTCGTCATTATTTGCCTTCGTTAATAAGTCAGATATTTTTAATTCAATACAGCGCTCTTGATGGCATGAAGAAATTCTACATGGCAGGCCCCGATTCACGTTCACCGTTGTGCTTAAATTAACTGAGCTGCTGTAAATGCTTTCACTGCAAGTTGTTTAATCTTCCTGAGGGGTGTGCAGTAGCCAGGATCTAGGGCCACTTTCAATGTGTGTTGAAGTCAAGGGGCAGATTCTGCTGGATGTCAGCGGGTTTTGGGTCTGGCAGGACTGGGGAAAGGACAAGAAAGACAAGAGGCTTTGGGGGCCCAAGCAGGCTGTTTCTGTGCCTGCTGGTGTGAGCGATGGGGTAGGAGAACTGGAGGACATTGTCTAGAAGACCCATGGACTGTGATGGACCCCAAGACCCTCTTGGTGCTCCTCAAAGCCACCTTCTCACTGGGGCCATTGGAGGACATGCAGGTGCCTCAGTTGGCCCTTCTTTTTTGGCAAGGCTCCTGCAGAAGCCAACACCCACTTCTCAGGGCTGAAAGCAAGAGTGGGTGCATGCATTGGGTTGGGCAAGGGTCAGTGAGGGAGGTCAGCCCAGATGGTGGGAGGCCAAGCCAGGCAGTCTGGACCCTGCTCCCCCCCCTTCCACATCTGAAAGGGATTTGCAGAGAGCTCAGAACAAGGCTTCCACGCCTTCCCTTGCCAAAAATATTAAGAAGAAGTTGTGAAAAATCAGAGACCCTGATGTCAATAAAGCATGTGACAATTGCAGTGTGTCTCTGAAGATCCTAATTTCCCTAAATTGCAGCAAGCAAGCTGCTAAGCAGTTTTCACTGTGATATAAGTGCATAACCGAGTGAACTGGACCAAGGTGCCACATGTTAATCATTATGGGAGTTTGTCTGCACAACATCAAACTTGCATGGATCTGCTTATGAAATCATACCTTTCCCATTAAACACGGTTTGAGTTTTGAAAGGGAATTCAGATTGGCTTGGCACCAACCTTTGTATAGGGCTAAGGAAGCCTGGGAGAGATGGCCCCACTGTAGGTACAGAAAAAAAGTATTAACCTGACTTCTCTTTTGTTGTGCATTTAGAAGTCTCTGCTTAAGGACTGTGGATTGATGGAGTGTCCTGAGGTGGGAAGAATATCAAAAAAGACGTCAACATGCCAATAAATGTGTGTGCCAAAAATAAGTACATTATATGTTAGTACATCAGAGAAAGCTAAAGAAAGGCACCCTTTTATGGAGGGAGACAGTCCAGTAGCTCACACCATTAAGGAAAAAAATGATCAAAGCAGAAATGAGCTCAAGTTTCCGAATGCCACCTCACCTTCAGAGTTCATTCCCTCAACCAGTCAAGGGCTGGGTATTTGAAGAATAAGATCTGGAAGGGAACTCATCTCTACATAGAGACTTGGGAGAACACTTCTCTTTCCCAAACCAAAAAGAAGTATATCAAAACCCTAGGCAAAATGAAAAGAAAGTGGCTCAAGGTCATAGATTTCATTCTCCAGCTTGAGACAGTGGAGATCCAGCTAACAACAAGCAGATGGAAAGTTAGGCACTGGTCTAAGTTGGCTGCCTTTGCAACTGCAGTAGGGCTCAGTCTATAGTGCAACATGTTTCTGGTGAAGATGTGCTGGCTGGGGAGCAAAAGACCATCACACATCCTCGCAGAAAGCTGAGCCAAGGAAAATTTTGTTTCAGATAGTGTTTTGTCAGCCTAGTTACGTTGCTAGTAGAGATGATACAGCTCTGCTGGCATGGAAAGTCCCACACTGGTGCATGCAAGGGTCTGATGTGATGTCTGCAGTGACATGTCCTTACCCAGAGAGGATGCTGACAAGCTCACCATGTTCAGCTCCTCCTTGGTGGTCTTCATGCAGCTGCTGGCTGGGGGTGAGCCTGAGCAGTGCGAGGAGGAAGGACCCACACTGTGTCTGGCACTTGGCTCTGCCCCTCGTACTCACACAAGCAAAGGGACAAGAGACGGGGTTTTTTGTTTGCTCTTGACATAGATAAAGCCCTCCATGGGGATAATTTCTGGTGCTTGGTGGTGTGTGGACGATATGTGTGAACAGTGACCCTGCGTGGGCCAGCGGTACATGGTGGGTGTCGTATTGTGCAGCCTCAGCCCCATCCATCAGTAAGTGCCTCTGAACTTTGTTTTTCACAAACAGAAAAGATCCCCCCCCCAAAAAAAAAAAAAATGGTTAAAGAAACATTAGAAAAAACAAGACTGGTAGAAATACTGCCAGTCCTAGGATATAAACACATCCCAGCCCTATGGCAGTGTCCTAGGCTGGCGGCAAGCTCATGTTACTTAATTATGATATATTGCATATAGCAAATAGCAGGGGACAAATGACCTGTTTTATTTTCACAGCCTAGAGTGGCTGTGTCTGCCTTGCAGCTGTTCAGAGCACATATATCAATGCTTCTCGGCGTCCCAGCACAAATGGAGATGCTGGGGATATAACCCTGGAGAGAGAAGCTGCGATGGGGAAGTTCTGAATTTACCCTTGGGCAGCACAGAACTGCCCTCTTTGTCTTGCAAGATGATTTCCTCCTCTTTTAAAGTGAATTAAAGTTCTTTGTGGGGTTTTTCCTCTTACAGAACCAGCTGCCCTTTTGCCTTGGCACCTTCTTCCTTGCTCCCACTGTGGTGTGGTGCAGAGGGAGCAGTCGCTGTGATGCCTCTGGGCAGGGTAATGTGGGGAATAAATGGATTTAAAATACAGAATATTTTGAGAGTAGTCTTCCCTGCACTGACTGCTAAATTTCATGGTCCCATGGACAGAGCATTGAGGCCCTTGGTACCCAGATACGTGGCCTCTGTGCTGGGCAGACATGAAGATGTTGCAGCTCCAGGGCACCAGGAAAAAAACAACCTGGGAGCACGGAAATGAGTTTCATGGACTTCCTCCTGACTTTAATTAAGCTCATTGTCATTTTGGTCCACTCCCGCTCTCTTTCCCTCCCTCTCTCTGTATTTTTGCTCTGAAAGTCTGTTCAGCAGACTCTACCCAGCTCTCAAAGCTCCATTTTTAATTAAAGTCCTTCAGTGGCTTTGAATGCCTAATGACCTCTTATCAGGTATTGTGCTACAAATAACAGGCGGGTGACCTTCCCTCCCACTCCTCGTTCATACACTATTATATTTTCATACCGCCTGCCCCACAAGACCCTTCTTGCTTTAAAATAACATTAGAATAGAAAACCTCCATGAAATACATTTTAACTAGGTGCAAAGGGCACGATTAATGTAAAGAGGCTGATGGATGAAGATGCACCATTGCAGGCACACTCTGAGAAACTTGGCCACGAAAGGGTATAGTGTATCAGGCAACTTACAGACAAGAAAAAGCAAGTCCTGTAGGATTTCTGAAGCCAAGGCCTGTCTGATAGGTATTTCTGTCTTCTGGGGTGGTGAATGGAGTTAGCAGGAGGTAGCACCTCCTTGCCCTGTGCCTGCAGCCATGGAAGGCCGTCATGAGCAGCGAAGGGGCCAGCGCTGATTTAGGGTACAAAGGAATAAGTGCAGTTTCCATTTTGACTAAGTGTTAGCTCTCTCCCTGTTTAGCTGCTGAGAGTTTTGATGAGGAGAAAGTTCTCCGCGATCACTGTCCTGAGCCACCCCAGCCCTGCTTGAGGAAGAAAAAGAGCTGAGATGAGCAGAAGTCATTGGTGGAGCCTTTGCTAAAGATACAGAGAGAAGTAAAAAGAACAACGTAAGAAAACATTTTATTTTCCCAGGGGCAGTTCTCTTTTCGGAGTGTGGGGTGGGGGTGGCACCTGGCTGGGCTACCTCCGGGTAAGGGCTTCTCTGGGCCACTCTGTTAGCTCTGTCCTTGTTACCAGCAGCTCACTTTGTCTTCTGTCTGAACTCCTCCACATTCCCTGCTGCTGGAGATCAATGTTCATAAGTCTCAGGAACCTTCTGAGGTGTGAGCTGGGTGCCAGGGGCTGACCCGCATGGCATCTGCCCAACGCGTTGCTCCTCCAGGAAATTTCATCATCCAGGTTTCCAAATCTTCAGGTGTGTGGTGAGGCCTTCACCACAAATTCAGTGCTCTGATGACAAGAATCTAAACTAGCCAGATCATTGAACACTCTTCTGACTTTTTGAGCGTATTCTATAAATCAAAAGAATAGAAAAAGGTGACATCCTAGGATAAATCCTCACATAGAAGTGACATGCCAAACACCAGAAACAGCTTTCAGCCATAGGTGACAACTCGGGCTCATTTGCAAATGGCTATCTTGAAGCAAAATCTTCAGACTTACCATTTTATATCCTTAATATATATTTTAAAACCCTTATAAAGCTCAAGCCATGAGCACATCATGTTAAACCGACACTTTCCAGATACCTGGCAACAGCGCTGTCCCACAGCAGCAGGCTTGGCCAGAGCTGGAGGAGAACCGAACTTGCTGGTATTTTTCAGCAACTTCTTTTCTCTTTCTCTGTCAGATGCTCAGTCTGCTCCCATCTGCACAGTTGCCATGCTGCATGTTGCTCCAGGTTTATGTCTTGGAGCAATGAGGTGAGCTTTGGTGATGCGTGGTGCTTCTGCAGCCTATGGTGGGAGATAACAGCATAGCTGGGCAGAGTGGGAACAGCCCAGCAGCTTTCCATGGGCTTGGATTTCTCTTCTGTGAAGCCACGATGGACCTGCCCATACGGATATGCTGGATCTTTTAGTGAAAAGGACTTCCTGAGCTCTACTTCTGCCATGGTGGGTGCTGGGTACCCACACCAACCTGCTGTTGCTGTTTGGCCTTGGCAACTTGCTACATGGAGGCTGAGGAACCCCACCACCTCGTGCCTCCATGGTCTAGAGAAACTTCTCTTTCCTACCCACTGCTGCAGGCTTCTTGGGCAGATGTACAGGAATTATACCAAGACAAGTTCTGCTCCATCGGAGTGGGCAGTGCTTATGTGCCCTGCAGCACTCGCTGGGCAGATGCCTGGGCAGGGGCACAGGGCTTGCTAGGGACAGCTCGGGTGTGCAAGTGCTCCCTGACCCCGTCAGATTTGCAGGGTGTCTTTCCTTCCTACCAGCACCTGGGCCCCTTCCTTAGCATAGTTCTCAGTTGAAAAATTATCTCTAATAGTCTGATCTGTATAAATTGCCTGGGACAGCTTTACAGCAGTATCACAAAGGAATCCCAGCTCCTGCCAATGACACTAAACCCAGACATGATGTTAGTGTTTCGTACCACAACAGTGAGAAAAAGAATAAAGCCATGAGGAATAAACTGCTGGACATGGTGATTTGTATGGGCACAGCCAGACCCAGCAACAAAGCAGTTGCTGAAGAACAGCTTCATCTCCTCAGCTGTTTACAAACAAAATAGCAGGCAGAGCTAACTTTCTTCCCTGCTTTTAGAATGCAACTGCTCTATCACATCCAAAACATTAATATTGGGTAGAAACAGAGTTGTGGGATCATGCATGTGGCAAAGTATGAAATAAACAAATTGAATAGAGAAGCTGAGACATGCTGTCAGAAAGGCTTGCAGAACCATGCCTGCATGGGCGATGCTCCAGAAAATGCTCCCCAGACACAGATGTCCCCTCCACCAAGTCTTGTCTCTGAGGTCATGATATGCGAAGGTGAGACCTGGTGCAGGGCAGCCTTAAAAATCACAAAAGCAAAAAGCATTGATCTGCAAGAGTCTTAGGATGATTTCTGACAGACATTTGTGCAATCTGCTTTTAAAACTCAAAGACCATAGGCTCCAAGCCCTCCCTAGATAACCTGTCATAATGCTTAATGACCTTCACAGTTAGAAAGGATAGAAAGGATTTTTTTTTTCCCAAATGCCTACTAGTAGGCTCTGTTGCTAAACATTAAGCTCCTTCCTTTTTGTCCTACCCTTGGTAGCTATGGAGAGCAATTGACTGCTGCCCTCATTATAATAACCTCTTACATATTTGAAGACTATAATCAAGTTCCCACTTCTCTTTTCTAGGCTGTCAGGTACTTTATTAATCCCCTGAAGCTCCCCAGCTGCTGTTTGCCCCTACCTGTTGTGTGGGACACCCCATTCCTGGCAGGGGCTGGTGGGCAGCATCCTGCTCCAAAGCACAGGGGCAGAGCAGGCAGCAGCGGGCTGTGTATTGGGAGAAATACCTCCTGTCACCCACGACTCCGCACTGCCCTGAAAAGCAGGGCTCCTCAACCCATCCTGAGCTATTTAAGGAGCCATGACTCGCAACCCCCACAGAGAAGTTGCTCTCGTTGTGGCTTCTGCCTCTTTGGAAACCAAGTCAAAGTCAGCAGGAGCATGAAGTGCTGAGCTTTCCAGCCCAGCTGAGCCACTAGAGGAAGAAAATCCCTTAATTGCTCGAAATCCATCACCTTGCCGTGACGGCTGTGTCACCTTGCTCTAGGAAAGAAGCAGAGACAACCTGACTTCTCTTGCTCTATCTTTGCTCACCCCAGCCCCAGAAGCAGCCAAGGGGACAGGAGAAGCTCGGCTGCCTCCAGGACCACTCGGTTGCAATTTCTCTGATATTTTCCACCCCTCATCACGCAGTGATGCTGCAGGGAGACGCTCAGGGGGATAACCTCCCCGGCAGCCAGGCGAGGTGCACAGGGCTGAGACACGAAGCACTACCTAGCTTTCTGCTGCCAGAAAACCCTCAGCTCGCAGGGGGAAGGCGCTGGGGCCAGCGGCTCTTCGGCATTGCAGCATCCCCACCTGGCGGCGCGGCGCCAGCGGCACAGCCTGCGGGGGGCTCGGCCCGGCCCGGGCTGCAGGTGCTCTGCCTCTGCTGGCAGGTGCCCAAAGAAATCCAAGGTGGATAAGGAAAGGTTGGATTTTTTTATTATTATTATTATTTTTTTTTTTTTTTTTGGTGTGTGCGTGTTGCTTCTGAAAAGACAGAATCTTCGCTGTGCCTACATATGTCCCATGCAAAGTCCAGATATCAAAATATCACTCCAAATTTCCTAAAGATGTTGCACAGCTGGCCAGCATGCTGCTTTTTCAAGTAAGGGTCTCAGAGGTATTCTGTAAAATATAGTTATATATATGTACATATATATATATATATGAAAGGTATTACTGAAAGGGCGTCTTGCAGGTGAAAAAGATGTAGGCACTACACTAATAGGACTGTGAATACTCACTGATCTTCAGGAAAAAAAAAAAAAAAGAAGAAGAAGAAAGAAAAAAAAGAAAAAAAAACATGGCATTTCTAAACTTCACTGATCAGCTCAGTGAAATAATCCATCACCTGTCGTGGGTTATAATGTAGGGATCATTTTAGAGGAAGCAGTTCTGAGAAAAGCAGATATTTTTCTCAGAGAACCCGGTATTGGTCAGCCACTGAGAGCATTTGCTGGTGAACAACTCAGGACCCTCCTGGGTCTGCTGCTGCAAACTCCCTGTGGCTGTGGGAATAGAAAAAGCTCAGCACTGCTGGGCACCAGAGGTGGAAATGGGGCAATGTGGAAATGCAGGTGGGGACCCAGCATCTTCCTGCTCTCCCTGCTGGCTTGGCTCCTTGCTCTTTGAGTGGCATAATGCTGCACTTTGTCAAAAATAAATTAATAAATAAGTATAAATCATGAGGTTGACTGGAGTGAAGACTCAGAGGAGCAGAGCATGGCCAGGAGGAGCAGGGGGTGGCAGGAGATGGCAACGTGCAGGGTCCCTATTAAAAAGCTTCTCCGGGGGAGCAGCTGCTTTGCAACCTGCCGGTGAGTTAATGTGGAACAGAGCCCTGGCGGACTCAGAGAGTGTGAGGAGCCGAGTGGGGGATAAATATAAATCACGGGAGGCCCCATGCATGCAGATCCCGGGCAGGGCAGTGCTGGGGCTGCTGAGTCGTAAAGGCTGAGCTCGGCCCGGCCGCCCCGGCCGCTTGCCGGGCTGCTCTGGAGCGAGCCGCCAGAGCTCAGCCTTACAAGCCCGGTCTTCAAAGCATTCCTCTCTTTACTGTCGGAGGCACCAAATGTCTCGCCCAGCTGTGTGGTTGGTTTGTGAGCCTTGTTAAGTGCCGGGTTTATCGTGCTTTCCCGAGGAATGCATGCTCCCGATGAGTAGCTGAAAGATGTTAGCTGGGCCGGCGGCTGAGGGCTTCAGGCTTCTTGCCTCAGAGGAGGTGGTTTGGAGACAGACTAGGAGGACATAACTTGCTTCTTTACCAGGTGAGTGCTGGGAAGTTTGATTGAACTTGATTGTTCTGCTGGGGAGAAACATGAAGGGGAAAACCCAGCATCGTCGCCCTCATGGTGGTAGAAATGCACCAGATATAATTTGGGAAGCCAGATAGTCACAGCCTTCCAAAACCAAAGCCTTTAATTACTGTATATGTACTGACATCACCATAAGGAAATATCCTTCACTTAAAGCTTGTCCACCAGAGCCCTCTGTGTGGGCTTAACACTGCAGACCTAATGTTGTTATCTGGCAGGGAATTCATCTCACTGCATCTTCTCCATAGAGTGAGCCAGAAAAGTTTCTCATCAGTGGCCAGGGCAGCATCCAAACCAGATCTGTTGTCCTGGTGGAGTAAGATCAAACCATTCCCACCTACTGGTGCAAGGTGAGAGGTCTGCAGCCCAGACTGGGAGTTGTACCCACACACAGAGTTCTTCTCCAAAGATTAAGCCTTGCCCAAGATCCTGCCTATTAAAGTGTCCTTGGCAGCATCGGGCAACTGAGCTTTCTTTGAAGTTCACTTTAAACATCACTCAAAGCCATAATGGGTAATGTGAAAGTGAGATATGTAATGGCCACAATAACCCCGTAAAGAATAGGGTGAGACGGCCAAAATACCCGCGTGCTGCTGAGCACTGAGCTGCTGAGTAAATGGGCTGGAGAGCCAGCCTCTCTCGTTTGTTCCTTCATCCAACAGACACAGCCATACACTCCCCATCTGTGAGCTCTTTGGCCTCTTTCTCTGCAGGATTTGTCCATGCCACACATCTCATAATGTTAATTGTTGTGTCTCTGGGGAGAACAGCACCCTCGGTTGCAGCCCGGACCCAAGCAGAGTGTAACAGGGAGAAAAATATTAGGGAGAAACATCCCAAGGTGGATTTTCCCCTCCATGTGTGACTGGTAGGTGGGTGCAGGGTGAGGGCAGGGACCTGATGCGTGGTGCTCTGGAGACTGAAGTGTCACATCACAGCCAGGGTGTCACAATTCGGGGGTGCAGTGTCACAGGATTGGGTAGGGACAGGGAAGGCAGGGGGGCAGGAGGCCAGAGGTTGAGGGGGAATATCGGGGAGCAGGCAGACACCCACACCACCCGGCTCATTGTCCATCAATACGCACCCTGGTCTGCATTGCTGTCCCATCGGACACAGTAGGGAAAGTAAGCAGTGGTTTAAAATCCTTCATTGGAGAGTGATGAAATGACAGCGTGATATGAGGGCATGGAAAAGTAAAAACTATAAACCAGGAAATTCTGCAGAAGAAATACATGAAACAATAAACAGACCAACTCTGCTTTGAAAGTGGTATGAAGTGGTCACTTGGGGAAGTGATAATGGAAGCACAAGTTGTACAACACACTGCTAATTTCAGTGCTGTCTTCATGTTTCATATTTGAAATTCATAATTGGAGATACAGGTTTGCATAAACTGAAGCCTTTTAAAAAGCATCCCAAAGAAATGAATGGAAATCCAAACGGAGACCATACTGAACCTGTGCAGAAAGGAAGCATGGGCAGGGCAACATGCGCCTGAAAGGAGAATGTGTGGGGTACAATAGAAGGGGGGGTCCAGCAAAGTGGAAACAAAAAAAACCAAGGGGTTAAAAAATGTGTATGAATTGTATATGAACCTGGAGGTATTTTGGCTTGCCCTGGGAAGGCATCGCAGATAGCAACATTTTCTTGTAGGTTCAAAATTCATTTTTTGTCCTTGGGGTCGGTTGGTTTTAAGTCACAGCTTGGGCTGCCTCAAGTGGAGGAGTGTTGTTGTTGGGATTTTTAAATGTATGGAGCAAAATAAGAGAGCCTTTCCTTCGATGGTCCCCAGGTAGCCATGTTCTTGCCATAAAGGAGATACAACTTTCACTGTCAGCTCTGATGGTCCTGTCCAACCTAGTTCCTGTCTCTGATGTCCATGGACCAAATTTCTCTTTGGTATGAGTTACAGCAAGGATCAGTTTGATTTGATAGGTTAAAAGTTTGCCCAGCATCATCCTGGGTGACAGTTTCACTTCAGTAAAACCAGATTATTTTGCTTATCCCTATTAAACTGGACCGACTGGTATTCCCATTCCCATGTATATACACACATACCAGACAATAATCTCCTTAACAACCCACAGATGAATTCCTCGGCTTATGAATCTGCCAGAAAACACATAATTTTCCCCATCAAGGAATGTTGCTTGGCACATCTTTAATATATCACTTACACAGCCCTCAATCAACCTAAATGATTCATCTAGCAACATCTCTTAGGCAAGGCTTTACGTGATTGAATGGCTCATCCTCACTGAAAAAGCACACGCCATTCAGTCCCACATATTGGCTATAAAAGTTATTAATAACTAGGAATTATTTAGATAAGAGCCATGAGGCCGGCTTCAGCCTGGGTGACGGCAGCTGGCCTGCTTTGAGCTCCATCAGCAAAATCAGCCAGAATTTGCCCCCGTGGGAACAGATCAGAGACTCGCAAGCTCCATGCTAACCCATGCATCATATTTTATGTCGTGTTTTACACTTTATCAGCCCTCGCATTAAGATTTATTGGTGTTGCCTTGCTGTTTAGTGGTTGTAGCTCACGATGTCTTCGGTGTGTTGCCCATGCCTTGGTGGAGGTGTTTGTTTTTCCCTCCACCCAGCTGCATCCCCATGCAGAGCACCAAAGTAAACCACCCTGGGCAGGTCATCCACGTCCATGCCAGGCTGCTCGTTCTCTCTACGTGATACCTTGTGTCTGTCCTGCCCGATGATGTGGTCAGGTCCATAGCTGCTGCTCCTGAGAGCACATTACAGGCTTGGCCACCTCTTGGATGGAGACATCGATGATTAGCTTGAGGACAGAGCGCAGCAAGCTGTCTGAGCCTGCACAGCCAGCACATTGTCCAGGGCACCTGGGAAGTCATTTTTCATCCCAGATATCTTCTCCTTTCCAGGGCTGGCTGAATTACGTAAGGTTCTTTGGACCCCAGACAGGCGAAGTGGGGTTATAGCACCATGTGATCTCAGCTACATTTCCCATCTCAGCGTCCTGGTTTTCTGCGCAGACATGGTAACTTGGCTCCTTTCCTGCTTGGAAACATTTGTTTGGATGTTCTGAGGCTTTCTCAAGGTTGTGGACCCCCGCCATAGGGTGTTACATGGCTTTAGATAAGAAATCTCCATAAAACTGCAAGCAATGTGTCTTCTGCAGTAAATCTTTCTTCTTAGTCGAGAGTGAAGCAGTCACATTGTGTTGCTTTACATTGCAGCCCACCTG